AGGTAACATGATCCTGTTAATCCCTTTCTGTGAGGTACCTTTTTATTTGCTTCCCAGCCTCGAGCTGTGTTTTTTTTATCCCCTTCTGGAACAAGATGGAAGGTATCAAGTTCATGCTGTTGTCCACTCTGGCTGTTCATTTGCTTGCAGTACAATATGAGCATGGAAACATGCACAATGGGGTTGTTTTTACTCCCAGTACCCGCTGTGTGGTGTAACACTACCCTGTGTGAGTAGCTGGAGTTGGTGTAGCAGCTTTGCTTCGTATAATTTCGACTTGTTTCAAAAAGATTAAATCACCTCGATGTGTGCGGATGTTTTTCTTTCTGCGTGTCGTGAGCATAGGGCGATGGCTCTCAGGGTTGTAGGTGAAGCCTGAGGGTTCATTTAAGGTTACTGTTAATAATTTGACAGCATATCTGCTTGGAGGGACCTTTGCTTTCACCAGAGTTTGACCTTAGTGTTGAAGTCAGGCTGTTCGTGTCTTGTTGCTCACCAGGTCTGATTCAATTTAAGCATTTATTACTTGGGTCATAAAAATGGTTTACTTTCTTTTTCCAATGCTGTTGGAGACGTAAACATTTGATTGTTCCCTCAGGGTGGACAGTTTTTATTATTTTGGGTTCAACTTGTTTAGATAAGTTTTTATCAGAGCATGTAATACAATACGTTTGCTCGCATATGTATGATTTACCTTCACATATGACACCCAACCTATATTTGTGTCGTTCCTGTGTGTCTGTGTCGACATGCATGTTGGCACCCTGCTATGTTGACTCGCTGCACCGTTTCCCTGAAATAACACATGAAACGGGAGTTTCACTTTTGTTGCTCATTCAAGCAGAGCTGGTGAATTTGAGTTCATGTTGGAGCTCATTTTAGCTGCAGATGTTTTTAACTGCTTACTCTGTCCAACCTGAAATGTATTACAGTTTAGCAGGAGTATAATTATGCATTTCTCCTGAATATTACAAATATAACACGCTTATAGATTTATCATCTTCTGGAATTTACGTACGAGGTGACAGTTGTCTGGAATTGGGTACAATTAATCGTTGACATTTTACAAAAACAACAAACGCATCTCGTGCTGTATCGCATCACGACAGAAAACATATTTCTACGTCTTTCTTCTTGCAACCAGTTATTATAGTACACCATGTATGCACAATAGCACATTTGTCAAAGTGTGTCACATGGCATATACAGTATCTACTGCATATTCATCCTAATGTTGGGCTCAGCTTTAATGCTCCTTTTACTTAAAGAAAACTCGTGAAAATTCATAGTGCAAATATATGTTATGTGTTGCACTATCTGTGTTCTGATATAACGCATACTAACGCCCCAATAGTAATCCTAGCATTTAATCTTCAGTTTGTATGAAACAGGCTTGGTGTTCAGTGTCCACAGATCAGCTTGAGTCCTGGAAAGTAATAACATGTATTGATTACCTCCTCTAAAATAAGAGTTTTCTCTCTGAACAGATAAACATCTTTTCTGCAGCAAAAAATATACAAACAGAAATTCAACTTTTAGACAAGCGTTGAATACTCAGCTTAATTTGAAAACCAGTAGATTCCTTTTAAAAATTAAATAAAACTTGAACTCTAACAAAGTTAAATCAGGTCCTCTGGACTGATTCTTCTTGTTGAAACGTTTCATCTTTTATCCAAAAGACTTCTTCAGTCTGAGGAGCTGCAACAAACTCAGTCTTATGATCAGCGCCTTCTCATGGTGGATCAACCAGTTTGATGGTAACATCCAGAACTAGCTGTTCACGTGCAAAAGAATCAGCCAATTGGTCATTAGTGCCTGGATGACTGCTTACTATTCACAGAGGGCTGAGTGATGCAGTAACAGCATCGTAAGACGGGGACAGTTGAACATGGAGGCGTCTGCAGTGGACAAGTTCTCCTCACAAAGATGGCTTCCTTCACTACTCTCTCAAACCAGAGTGAAGGAAGCCATCTTTGTGAGGAGAACTTGACCTTCATTAAACGGGGCAGAGGCCTCCATGTCCAACTGTCCCTGTCTTACAGTGCTGTTACAGCCCACTGTGAATAGCAAGTGGCCATCAGGGCACTAACGATCAATTGTTGGGCTGATTCTTTTACATGTGAACATCTAATTCTGGATGTTACCATCAAACTGGTTGATCCACTATGAGAAGGTGTTGTTTATAAGACTGAGTTTGTTGCAGCTTCTCAGACTGAAGAAGTCTTTTGGATAAAAGACATCACGTTTCAACAAGAAGAATCTGTCCTTTGTTAGATTTATCTACCTGGATTATTGAGCATCAGGACAAAACTTGAAATAATTACAGTTTCATTTGCATCTAAAATTAACTGTTTTTGGAACGAAATTTATGTCTGTTGTATTGTTTTTTGTGTGTGTAATTTTTAAAAATCTTTTTTTTTAAATTACTCCTTAGCATATAGTTCCTAAGGAAACCAGAAAAACTGAATTATTGAGAGCTTTGTCTATATTGTCAGATTGGGCAAATTATGGATGTTTCGTCTTTTCCTCATGGAAGTAACTTTTGTGAAAATTATTTTAAAATGAAAACAAAGACAATTTGTTCAAACTCGTTATTTATATTTTGAAAGTTTGTTTGCAGAACAACTTTGCCACATTAAAAAGTAAGTGAAACGTTTAGGGGGAGTGGCTAATTATTTTAACCACTCCCCCTAAAATGTGTAAAACCCTCAGTCATTTTCAGCATTTTAGATTTTTACACTTGTCAACTTTCTGCTGGAAGCATTGTATGGTGGAGTCTGGATGAAATCTAAATAAAAAATATGCACATTGTCCGTTCATGACAGAATTTGAAGCTAAAATCTTAAAGTTAAAGCTGTTTTGGTCAAACAAGAAAAGTTATGAATTAACTTGTGCTGTTAGTTTGTACTTAAGTATGTGTGTGTTGTGGAATGACTCCCAGGTACTCCCAATCGAATTTTAGCATATTTTTTGCTAAAATGACAGTTTTATAGTCGTTAGCTAAGATTGATTAGTCGTGACAGCCATCCTAAATTGGGTTAACTTAAAAAGTTAGTCAGATGTAGATTTACATCCATTGATAATTTTCTAAGAGTTTTGTTACATAAAAATTAGCTTACATGACAGTTAAACACACATCAAAACCAAAATTTTATTTATAAAGCACACTTAAAAAAAACAAAGATGTCCAAAGTATCGTACAATAAACCCCTAAAACAAAACGATGCTAAAAATCATTCATCAATTCAGACAAAAAAACAAAGATACAAAAGGAAGTTAAAAGTCTAAGGTGCCTAAAATCCCATAACCAATTCTTGAAAGGAGAAAAAAATATTAAAAGTGGCTTTAAATACAAAAAATAAATAGTCTTTTTCTTATAGTTACCAATATGATTTTTACCAAACTGTGTCAAGCGAAATGAAAGAAAATAAAAACTAAACCGCTGTGAAAATTCATCATGTTTAAATCAATTCAGTTCAGTTTATTTATAAAGCGCCAGGTCACAACAGAAGTCGACTCAGGGACTGAACAGAAACATTCATATCTAAAAATAATAATTTAACATTATTTATCGGAGGAGCAGACTGATTTTAATTTAACTCCATCACAGAACTCTCATCTTGAGCGAGCATGAAGGCGACGGTGGAAAGGAAAAACTCCCTCATGAGGAAGAAACCTTTAGCAGAACCAGGCTCAGGACAAGTGACCATCTGCTTTGACAAGCTGAGTTTGAGAGGAATAGATACACAATGGTAAATCCAGAATCACATGTTAAGATAGAAATAGTATGGTATAATAGTAACAATTCATTTAAGGAAATGATGTCAATTTGTCCTCCAGCAGTCTAACCCTATAGCAGCATAACTAAGGGACAGCTCAGGAAACCCAAGCCAACCCTAACTATAGGATTTATCAAAAAGGAAAGTCTTAAAACTGGACAATGTGTCAGCCTCACGGACAGAAACTGGAAGTTGGTTCCACAAGAGAGGAGCCTGAGAACTGGAAAATCTTCCTCCCGTTCTGCTTTTGGAAACTCTAGGAACCGCGAGTAAGCCTGCAGCCTGAGAGCGAAGTGCTCCGTTAGGAAAATATGGAACAGTGTTTAAACATCAACTATGCTGTGAGACTGACATTAAAGCCCCTCCTGTCAGTTAAATGAATCATTGTCGTGCTGCGGTCTGGATCCAGGCTTCGCTCTGTATACGACATCGCACGTGTTCTATAATGTGGGGTCATGCGGCTGTAGGCGAGTGGCTGTCACGACTCACCCAGGGAGCTGGTCTCTGCTTGCAGAGTTGAGGGGGCTTACGATGTGTACTATGCACCAAAAATATTTTGCGACTGTTTTGTGAACAAGGTTGTGCACGAGCAGATGTTTTGCACGACTTTTCGGTTATCGCCTGAAAGATGTGCAGAGACGGCAGAGAGGTAGACGTCTGTAGAGCGCTGTGTCACCAGAGATCCCCCAGTAGGTTCACTCTCCTCAGCCCCCCCTCTCCGTCCTGTTTCCTCAGACTACTGCATGAGACCCAGTGCCAGCGTTTAGAGATGGGACACCTTTTACCAGCTCAATAAGGTTTTCTCACCTCCTGTGTTTGGTATCAGGTGATAGTATTTGTGTGTGTCTGAGTGGAGCGTGTGTGGCATGTTGGCCTTACTGCCACGGTGCTGAGAGAAAAACACATTTATATAAGAAGATATCACTGATGGGTGAAAGAGGAGGGGACTGGGGGGAGGAGTAAGGGATGAAAGGGAGACGAGGTGAGAAATGTGAGCATGTGAACGCTAAAGAGGACGGCAGAGCGGCTTGTGAAGGGTGGAGCTTAGCATCCAGCGCCGTCTTCCTCTCTCTCCTGCCTTCTCCCCGCTCGGTCCCTCTCCATGCTCTCACTTCATGTGAGAAGGAGCATCTGCAGTGATTTCAGCTGATTGGTTGGACTGCTGCTCTTTCTGCGTTTATGGACTCCTTCGAGCTGTGCAACAAGGGCTGTCTTCAGGCACCGCCGTGCTCCCTCTCCCCTCTGGAGTGGTGGAGGGGGGGTGGGTGTGAGGTTCTGTAGTACATCTTGAGAAGAAGGCAGCGTGCAGGAGTTCGCCGGCAGGAGCAGGGCGGCCGAGGGTTTTGGAGCAGGCAGCGGTTGGAGAGGCTGGTGAAGGATGGTGATGCTGCTGCTCTGTAGGCTGCGTGACATCCGGACACAATCCTGCCTGTCCTCGACATGAGCCTCGCAGGAAGGTTGTCCTGCTCCATGCTCAGCTGCTTTGTAAGTCCACAGCTTCCTGTTTGGGCGTTTATTATTTGAATCCAGATTGTGATGGGTGTGTATCACAGCTCTCCTCTCTCCACCTCGCCTTCCTTCCAGTCAGTGGGGGAGGTGGAGGATGCTGCTTGTCACATGAGCGCTGCAGTTATTTAGTAACAACACTGACTCATGGAAACATTGGTAGTATTTCATCGAAAGTAGGTTAAAAAAAAAAACACTTGAAAGTACTGTTTAGTTCCAGAAGTCTTTGTGAAGGAGGTCAAGTTAAATGTTTGTAACTAGAAGGACATTCTGTGCCAGATGTTGCGTTCTCAGAGTGATGAATTTAGTTAACTGCAGTGGAGAATAAGGATTAGACTGCATACGAGGGATAAGACAGATGTTGAACAGGTGTTTCTCTTGCACTAAAGGTTGAGACTGCATCTAATGTTTACATCACTGACATTTCTCCGGTGCTCCCACTTAACATCTGTACTCTTTTATCTGCTTTCATCGTTTCATTTTAATTAAACGGTAAACTTTTTCACATTGACCCGTCAGTTGTTTTGTTTAATTGGAGTGCAATTAATATATATCAGACTTTTAAATGTAAAGTAAATGACATAAACTTGTGTGAGCCAAATTCATATTAAGAAGTTTTAGAAATAAACTTCTCAATCCTGAACTTTCTCCATTTGTGCAACACAATAAACTCATACGGTTCATAGTAAAGTCCATAGCCTTCAGGTTTAGTGGCGTCCTTTTAAAGTCTTAACTAGCTAACATCTGTTAATAAACAAAGTCGAGCTGAGGAGCAGTACATACTAACAATATAAAACTCACTGTGACCTGGACACCTTCAAACTCACTTACTTTTGTAGACGATTGTGTGGGAGGAGAGTTGTTAAAATTACAGATTTTTCTTTAATGGGGGGATAAATGCATGATCAGAGAAAAGAAAAAGAAGAAAAAATTAGGGATGCATGATATTGTATTTTTGGCCGATATCCGATATGTTAAAACTTATTCGACCGATGCCAATACTGATATTTTATATCCGTTCCTTTGTCAGAACGTAGCCTCATATTTAGGATTATTTGCTACAAAAATTGTGCAACAGCTGTAAGAGTTGGTGAGATATATTCAGTAACAGCCATATGATATGTATAGCACTTTAACTTATATTAAGAAGTGTTAAACGTTATTTATTAGCATTAGTCACCTGCGATGCTGTCTCATGTGTGGAGGCTTGTTCCAGGTTCCTATAGCTGCAGAGTGGGATCCTCTGCACTCCTGTGCATGAAGGACAGACTTTTTAAGTTCAAAGTTTTTGTCTATCCATTGTGCCGTAAGACTAATCATGCTAACGGGGCTAACACGACGTCCACATGTCTGTGGTAAAACTCACCCAACAAGTCGTGCCATCAGCTATTAGCTTCTCAATGACGTCGGAAATGACGGCTTGTAACTCGGGTAACGTTACGTCGGAAAAATATCTCCGACTGCGGACGATGTATTGAGGCTCAACGTAGTCCATAAATCTTCGGAATCAGACATCCTCACCAACGAAAAATAAAACTTCCACACCGCCGGCATTTTGAGTTTTCCTCTCCGCCGTGCGATCAGGTGCATGTGACATCATCGCGTTGTGCTGTGACGTCATCGCGTTGTGCTGTGACGTCATCGTGTTGTGCTGTGACGTCATCGCGTTGTGCTGTGACGTCATCGCGTTGT